AAGTGTAGGAATCTAAAATAATAAAAAATAAAAGTGTAAAAACTTAAAATACCAAAAAAGGTATAAGGACCAATAATAAAACAAAAATAAAGTATAGGGTTTTAAAGTTATGTTTTCTCATATTTTTTTTTGTCTCTTAATTCCTTCCTCTTCTATAACAGTCCTTTGTATTTTTTATTTGTATTATTTGTTCTATTGAAAATATTTAAAATTACATTTTTTATATTTTAAGTTGAACAATTATTTAATTTTTCATATATTTTTTATGAAATTATTTATTTTTTATGCTCGTGTGCTTAAATTATTATTTTAATTTTGCAGTGTTATTAGCTATTTACAATTTATGACTATAATTTATAACCTGCTTTATGTTTGAAGCTATATAAAGAATTTCTCTTAGGTATAGGTAGAGGTTAATGATACATATTAAGATCTTCATGGTGCACCAAAAAAATGAATTGTAAACTCTTTAATTTTAAATAGAAAATAGTTTTAACTCTGCATCAATACAAAATTTAGAGCCTTTGTTAACATCATTTGAAATTTAAAAAATTTAAATTAATTATTTAAATAAAAATAAATTAATAATATCATCAATGAATAATAAATTAACATTAAATTTGCAACGCTTTCTTAATTATTTTAATAATCTCATCAATAAACAATAAATAATCATGCAAGCTTAGCACAAATCTCCATTTAATCTCCAACTATATAAAGTACTACAATATGTCATAAAAGATTTTAATACCACTATCATAAAAAAAGTAATTAGTTTGCTTAAGAATAACCACAAATAATTTCTCATTTTTATTTTTGCAAATGAGAGAAATTTTTTTGTATTTTGTTTTAAAACTAAGTGACAAACAAATAGAAGCTGGATTAAGGTCTCATTTTTTAATCATATTTTTAATGCCAATAAAATTTAAATTCCAGGTTAAAGTATAAAATTTTATAAAGTATCTTTTCAACTCTTTAACTTTAACACTGTTAGTTTCATCACACAAAAATTTGATGTTAAACTTTTAAATATTAACAAAACATTACCAAATGTTAACATATTAAATTTAATTTTTTAAAATAATAATTATTGGCAAAAATATATTAATTATTTGAAACTAATAGTGTTAGGCAAAGGACTGAAAATGTAAAGAATATATTAATTATTTTAAACTAATAGTGTTAGGCAAAGGACTGAAAATATACTTTGTAACATTAAGAGACTAAATTGAAACCTTATATAAAATTAGAGAATAAAAAATATACTTTAGCCAAAATTTTAAAATTTAGGAAGGAATTAGTAATATCAATATCATTCAATATTAATATTATTATCCAATATATAAAATTTGTAATAAACTATATTATTTACAAATATTCAATAATATGATTTATTATAAAAGTTGTGTTATTTTTTGGGTGCCCCTCTTTGTATTTTTTTATTTTAAATAAAAAGTTATGTATACGGACCATCAGCAAACAAGATGCTTCTATGAGAGACGCTGTGCAGATCAGTGCTACCGCTAATCTTCAGGCATGTTTGGGTAACTATCAACAGTACATACAAACTTTATCTGGGATATACTTTTGCCAAATTCAACAAATAACTGAATCTCTTAAATATATTTTTATCAAATATAAATTAAAAATTAAACACACACGCATATTTTAATTTGCAGTGAGTAGTGTTATTTTTTATGTAATCAGATGCTATTCAGTATTGATCAACTTGGTTTGGTTCATCTCTATTAATATCAATAAAAATATTAATATAAAATATAATATTTATAATAAATCCAACCATTTACAACTTTATGAATGATAAGATATATTTTTAAAATTCAGTATAAGACATGGGAACCAGCTACGATCCCTATGTAAACACATAAAAACAATTTTGACAATATTCTACTAGAATTTTTATTAGCATACTTTAATACGTGCCTATTAGTTACCGAAGATTTTAATTTATTGGGATAGATTTAGAATTTACTACTAACAAATTAAAATGGGTTAAATTAGTAAAAATTTGTCTCATCATTTACAAAATCATGAATTCAAATCTTGCGCTATCAATGTGAAAACCTTGTTAAAAAAGTACTAATGGCTCAAGGTTTTTAAAGTGAGATCGTACCATGAAAATAATTTAGTCACAGAGAGGCTATTAAAACAATTTTACACAAAAATTTAATTTTAAGAAAGTTCCTTGAGACCTTTCACTTTTTTGTACGTACCTTTTATCAATTAAAAAATAGAATAAATTGTTGACATAGCATTGACTTGCCATGAAGGTTCAGGTGGCGAGGATGTAGTGGATGGTGAGTGAGGTGTACTTGTGAAGTGGTATAGTAGTAATTGAATCCAAAAAAAAAAGATAATTATTAAATAAACTAATGACAAAAGTTTATTAATTAATGACAAATATTTTTCATCATTAAATTAATGATGAATTTATTTTGGTCACTAAATTAGTGATGCCATATTTATTATGAAAATTAGTGACGACGGACAATCTATCACAAATAACAAATTTTTCTTATTAGTGACAGATTTGTCCATCACCAATTTCATGTTTTCTTGCAATCAATGTGAATGTATTTGAGCTAATATGGAAGATCTCACACCCAATAAAATTGTATTTAATAAGTAATATATGATAAAAGGAAAGGGCTTGTGAGGTTGATACTTTAAGTTAAGATCATATGGTGTCATCGACTTCTCTCAATCCGTTTGTTTTCCCCCTTGTTTTCGGATGGTGCTCCCCATTTTTAACAAAAATATTATTAACCAAAAGATGTCGTTGAAATGTTTATTTAAGACAAACAAAAATGATAGCTCAAAAATTATTATTTTTTTGTTGAGATATATATTTTAATTTTTCCAACTTAAGTAAACATTTCTTAGATTAAAACCAAATAAGATATATATAATAGAAAATGATAAAAAGTCACATTATTTATGAGTAATAAAGCGATTCATCTCATATTATGATAGAAAATATGTTATTGGTTAGCTTTTATAAAACCAAGGTACATTCATTCTACTTTTCTTGGATCATCACCTCTTCATCATATTAATTGAATAGTTATATATTTGCAAGCACCTAAACGCTTTTATGGTATACTTTGAATCCCTTGTTATGACAAAGATTTTCGTGCAGAAAATAGGGATATACATGAACGGCTTTATGAGAGCGTTTTTTTTTTAGTATTTTACTATAAAGAGTGATGGTTAAGTATAATAATATTTTAAAAGTCAAATGGGACATTGAATTGGAAAAATTAAAAGTTTTCATTTTTTATGGTTTACCTGAGTAGACCAGCAATTCAATCAGTGATGTAATAATTAAATAAAAATAATATTAAATATATATATTTATAAATTAAATGTATGAAACAAATATATAGTATCCCTATTTGTAAATAAAATGACATAACATGACTACAAATTAATAGTATTATAAATTATAATTTTATAATTTGTCAAATATAAATAAATTTTGGTTAAATTATATATGAGTAAACTTAAAAGTATTTACATTTAAATTTATAACTGTCAACATCTTTTTTTTTAAATGATCTCTAATTATATTTTATATATGTAAATGGTTTAAAATAAGTTGGTTTTTAGTAGGATTTCATTTTTTAATTTTTCTGGTTTTTTTAATTTGTAAGTTTTTTTAATATTATGTTTTAAACTATCTGATTTTTAATTGTTTCACCTTTCAATTTAACTTCAGTTTCTGATTTAATAATGACTCAAATTCAGTCCAAATGAAGCCGTAAAGGCTTTGATTGGTGGTCCAACTGATCCTGTTGTTTGGTTCGATTTGATTTTAAAAACAATGCAGCTCACTTAATTGTCGCCATCAATCTCCATATTTCAAGAGTTACGAACCCGAAGAAAAATTTAAAAGTAACTAATCAATATCAATATTAACATATAAACTGTTAAATTTAAAACAAATAAGACAATGCAGCTAGCTGGTCAATAAAGTAGGAAGATAATGCAGGTTGTTTCTCATATTAATTATTTTAATGCTTGACCTCTATATCAGGAACAATGTATGTTCTAATTATGAATCAAAAGCATTAAATAAGAGTGGTTAAATGAATATGCCTCATTTCTCGATTTTTAATTTGTTATTTGTTGTCTTCATAAAAAAATCTCATTGTTCATTAATACTTGTAGCACTTTTTATAAATTAACCCCATTATAAATGTGAGTATTATATTAATTATAATTCATAAGCTTGGATTTACCTCAAGTTTCATCTTTAAAATTCCATAGTTTTCCTTAATCGTTTATTTTTTTCGTAATTAAAAAATATCTCATTCTTCATTGTCATTCAAAATTTCTTTATTCGTTGCTAACGTTGTAAACTTAATTATCATATGGAATATAGTCGAATTGAAGTTCTGTTTTTTTATTTCTATTTCTTAAATTATTATGTGTTTATCATTAAGAAAATTAAACATAGTTAATCCCTACAATGTTTTCTATTTTTTTTATTTTTTGCTGGAGTTAATTTCACCTGATGATTAGATCAATTTGAGTTCATAATAAAATGTAATTGTACCTGTCTTAGTTTTTTTTTTTTATAAGTAAAAAGTTTAGATGAGTTGAGTACTTAGAACTCACTAAAGTTAAGACATGACTTCCTAACTTATAAAAGCTTATAAAATACTTATAGGAGGATCACCCACCAACAAAGTCCTCATATTGGCAACGGAATTCAATCCTATAATCTTATGGATTATGAACCAAATTCTTATTAGTTGGATCACCCAACTTTTGTTGATATATGGTTTTAGTTTTAATCTATTACATAAGTCAAAGATTTTCAAAATCTTCCTATTTTCTTACATAAATACATTTATGAAAAAACGAAAACAAAAAAGAATATGCATTCTCTGTATTCTTTTATTTCATTTCAGTACATGCATTATGAGTTACGGACTTGCCATTTCTGACCTCTCTCTCACCTTTAAGTGGAGAGGAGCAGCCTGTGTGTCCGATGAAATAATACAAAAAAGGTTCTGTGCTTAGACTTCACTGTGAGCTCTGTTTCATCTTCTCTCTTCCATCACCATGGCATTTTGCGGCTCCTTCCTTAAGCCAAACCAGCCAATCACTCAGAGTCGTAAGACTCCGACTCCAATTCATGGTGGTAAAAAGCAGGTTTGCAAACTGGGCACAACTTATATTGTTTATGATCATGGGTTACATCTCTTCTCTGATCCGAAGCTTCTTCATTATTTGACGATGGCTGTTGTTATTAATTGTATATGCATGTGCCAGTTCTTAGTGAGGTCCTCGGAGAATAGCTCCGGCGGCCAGGAGAGGACGAGGATAAGGAAAGTTGGTGATGTGTGGAAGATTAATTACGCAGAACTGAGACCGGAAACGCCATTGCTGGACACTGTCAACTTCCCTGTTCATATGAAGAATCTGTCCAAGCAGGTGAACCATTTGTTGAAATGACTGTATACTGATTAATCTCTCATCGATCAATCCCACAACGGTTAATTTCTTCACAAATATGTATGACACAGGATCTTGCGCAACTCGCAGCTGAGTTGAGGGCAGATATCGTACACAGTGTTGCAAATACTGGAGGTCATCTTAGCTCAAGCTTAGGAGTGGTGGAGCTTGCAGTTGCTCTGCATCATGTTTTTAACACCCCCGATGATAAAATTATATGGGACGTTGGACACCAGGTCGCTCCTTCTTCCCTTCTCTTCTTGAAATTGTGATTCTTGATCTTACATTCTTTTAGTCTTAGTTTATTCTAATGGAGGCTGTTTGCTGTCCAAGTCCAAGTGGACTTGAGTCGAGGTGGAAGCACTACGTAGGCTTAACTAATGTACATAAAATAAGAGGAAGAGCTAAAAGCTTGAGTCGCTCGATGAATTTGCAGGCATACCCGCACAAAATCCTCACAGGTCGGAGGCACAAGATGCATACCTTGAGGAAAACTTCTGGGCTGGCTGGATTTCCCAAGAGGGACGAGAGTGTTCATGACGCTTTCGGGGCAGGACATAGTTCGACGAGCATATCTGCTGGTCTTGGTGAGATATATAATCTTAAACCTTAAGAAACAGTTTTCGAAGAACTGGTTAAAAGTAAAGAGGAATTGATTGTGATTATTAAATATGGTATAGGGATGGCTGTTGCGAGGGATCTTCAGGGAAAGGACACTAAAATCATTTCAGTGATTGGAGATGGGGCCATGACTGCTGGTCAAGCTTACGAAGCCATGAACAATGCCGGATTCCTCGACGCCAACCTTGTCATTATTCTTAATGACAACAAGCAAGTCTCCTTGCCAACTGCTACCCTTGACGGCCCTGCAAATCCAGTTGGAGCACTCAGTGTTTCTTTGAGCAAGATTCAAGCCAGCAAGACATTCCGCAAACTCAGAGAAGTTGCAAAAGTAAGCATACAATGAATAAGTATTTGTATGTATAAGATAGGATTTGACTGTGATTTTTGTGTTCTATATAGACTATTACGAAGCAGATAGGACCGCAAACACATAAAGTTGCAGCAAAAGTGGATGAGTATGCTAGAGGAATGGTGAATGCTAATGGGTCAACATTTTTTGACGAGCTAGGGTTGTACTATGTCGGGCCAGTGGACGGTCATAAATTGGAAGATCTGGTCGACATTTTCCAGAAAGTGAAAGCCATGCCAACACCAGGTCCAGTTCTGATACACGTTGTGACAGAGAAAGGGAAGGGGTATGCCCCAGCAGAAGTTGCACCTGATAAAATGCATGGTGAGGTTAAAATTCCTGGTTTATAGGTTTGTGATCTTACATTGCATAGTAATGATAGATCATGGTTACGAAATGAACAAAGATGGAACCAGGGGAAAACATTCTTCTTTGGGAGGTTGGGCGAGTAGCGAATATTAATAAGTAATAATTAATGATCATTTAAAATATTATTTCAATATATATAGTAATAAATGTACTAAAAATTAAAAATAGTGATCAGTTATATAATAAAACCTGCCCAACATACATATACATACACATCTACTTGTATGTGGTATACAATGTGTACATAATATTAAATATATTAATTATAAATTATTGTAGACAGAAAATTTCCAAACTTTAATTTGTAGAGTAAGGCTGCAATACAAGGATAAAAACGATTGCTCAATGGTGTGGCGCAAATTAATTAAGCAATGCCATTAGCTGACACATGCCTTTGTTTTATGGAACTTGAATGAACTGACTGAAATTATTACATGAGCACAGTTTTGACTTTTGAGTATTATGATTATGGATAAGAATGATGCTGATAGTCTCTCACTCTCTAAGGTGTTGTCAAGTTTGACCCGAGAACAGGCAAACAGTTCAAGCCAAAATCTGATACACTTTCCTATACCCAGTACTTCGCTGAATCTTTGATCAAGGAAGCTGAACAAGATAGCAATATAGTTGCTATTCACGCGGCCATGGGTGGTGGCACGGGGTTGAATTATTTTCAGAAAAAATTCCCAAAACGTTGCTTTGATGTGGGTATTGCTGAGCAACACGCCGTCACATTTGCTGCTGGCTTAGCCACAGAAGGTCTCAAGCCATTCTGTGCTATCTATTCAACATTTCTTCAAAGAGGATATGATCAGGTGAGCCAAAAACTATCCAAGCCAAGTACTTCACTTCAGCGGCAATATTAGAACCATCATAGTAATCTCACCGCGTCGTGGTTGACCATGATTGTCGTGTAGGTGATCCATGATGTAGATCTTCAGAAACTACCGGTCCGGTTTGCTTTGGACAGAGCCGGATTGGTCGGTGCAGATGGACCGACTCATTGTGGATCCTTCGATATCACTTATATGGCATGCTTGCCCAACATGGTCGTTATGGCTCCATCCGATGAAGCTGAACTGATGCACATGGTTGCAACTGCAGCAGCCATTGATGACCGTCCAAGCTGCTTTAGATTTCCTAGAGGAAATGGTGTTGGAGCTGTTTTGCCACCCAATAACAAAGGAACCCCATTGGAGGTTAAGCACACTAGTAACTCACAAGTCATCATAAGTGATCAATTATAACCTTGTTTGTTGTTTCGTTTTGGCGTCGTGCAGATAGGAAAAGGAAGAATACTGACAGAAGGAACCAGAGTTGCAATTCTGGGATATGGATCAATGATTCAACAATGCCTGCAAGCTGCAAAGATGCTCGCCACACAAGGTGTATCTGTGACAGTGGCTGATGCTAGGTTTTGCAAGCCTCTTGATACTGATCTGATTAAACGATTAGTGAAGGAGCATGAAATTCTACTCACAGTGGAAGAGGGCTCTATAGGAGGTTTTGGATCTCATGTTTCCCAATACCTGAGCCTGGCTGGCTTTCTAGATGGACCCTTGAAGGTAAAAATAAATATATGGTCCTCCATCATGTTACTATAATTTCCTTCATTATGTCACCACGATTTGTAGCCTAATTTCTCTTTTGAACTTTGGTTTTAGTGGAGAGCCATGATGCTTCCTGACAGATACATCGATCATGGATCGCCCCAAGACCAGATTGATGAAGCTGGTCTTTCATCGAAACATATCGCCACAACAGTCCTGTCTCTTCTTGAGAGGCCAAAAGAGGCTCTTCTCTTCAAGTGAAAGGCACAAAAGCACAACGGCTCATCGAGGAAGGTTAAGTGGATCCGCCATTGATGCACCTATAGATATTACAGAGGGCAACAATGATTATAGGGCAATGAAGGCACAAAGTGGCTCTAGAGTACTTATCTGACGGGACTGAAAACGCAATATCGTGTTTTACCTTTTTGTACTTCATTTGAACCGTTGTAATTAGCAGTGCCTTTGAAAAATAAATGATCGTTCAATAAGTAATAATAAGCTCTGTTTGGTAAGCACAGATGTTTTCCTTCTCTTCCTAGACCCTCCACAGATATCTTGCCTCTCGTGCAATTCACAAATATTGTTATCATCAATAGCAGTTCCATTGTGAAGTATCTTTTTGAACGAGTAATTAAAGATCTAAGAAAGATCTTACCCAAAATAATAATAATAATAATAATAATAATAATAATAATAATAATAATAATAATAAAGAAATAAAAGAAATAGCTATCAAAGATGAGGTTAAATTCAAAAGCAAGAAGAAAAGATGAGGATGTGAATTGATTAAACTCTTAATTGCTGAGTAAACGGAATGAAGTATAAAATTTAGTAATTGGTCGTGTAACTAGTTTTGCACTTTTTTTTTTCGCATCCCTATTTCTGGCGTATAATTTACAAATTTAAAAATTATTTTTATTCAGTCAACATAATATGATCTACCTCTATTAATAGCACAACGAATCCCTCTCATAAACAATTTTAGGTATATATATTGATAATTAAAGATAATTGTAATGAACCTAAGTTGGAAATAAATAAGTTTATCTCTCAATTAATATTTTATTTAATTGTTTTAATTTTATAGCAAATGAGAGTGATAGTTTATTGAAAGTTACATTAGCAATTTTTTATTTTTATTATTTTTTTAAGTTTCATAATTTAAAGGTTCTTGGTAAAAGTTTAATTTTATTTTGTTTTAAATTATAAAAAAATTTGTGTTGTTTTTTAATTTTTCCTGTTCTTTCTTGTAATTTTCTCAATTATTCTTGTGTTTCCTATTCCTTCGTGCGAAAAACAGAGCAATTGCATTTCTCTTTGTTTTTTCACCGACATATCGCTTCTCCTCCACCGTCGAATACGCTAGATTCAGCAGGAGAGAAGCTCTGATCAATCTTCATCTCATGCTCGCCTTTCCTTTTGAGTTGGTTGCCGGTGTTCACCATGAGTTCGCCGTGAGTTTGCTGCCACAAGGAGTTTGTTCAAGGTGGACATGCTCATCCCTGTTTCTGCTTCCGTCGATCTCTACATCTTTCTTCACTGTCGAAGCTATCAAACTTTCTCCCTTCTCCCTCATTTCGTCTGTTTGTTGGTGGTGAGGCATGAATGAGCTCGGTTGTTGAAGGAGGTTGGAGTTGCTAATCATTCTTCTCCCCCTGCACCACCGTCATTCTTCTTTCACCTCTGTCGTGGGTTTTTATTCATCATCATCTTCTCTTGCTTCAAGTGCGTCCAACCCTCCCCCTTCTCCTTGTTTGTTCTTCATGGGTTTGTGTGTTTAATTAGTTGAGGTTGTGGTTTGTTTTCTTCCTTTCTCTGCTGCTGTCGTGAATACGGTGGAGAATGGGGATTTAATTTTCTTGAATTAAGATTGATTTATCCATTGAAGGAATTAAACTTGAAAGTTGGTTCATTTAAATATTGATGTTAGAGAATTTTTAGGAATGAAAGTAGATAGAAAAAAAAAAGTTTGGTGTTAGTTTAATGATTAATGCTCATATTATGTTTGATAAAATACGAGAGTTTACCTTGATTTTATATCGTTTTAAAATCTCATTAATTCTTGACAAAGTATAATTAGTTTTGGCATTATTGATTGTAGATTGCAAATTGATTATAAAATTGTATATAACTATTTGAATTCTTGAGAGTTGTACAGTTATTGATAAATTGTGGGATAAGAGATGGAAGATTAAAAAATTTTAATTATATGATTAGAGATAATGCACGTAAAGTGTTTAATGCAAGTCTAAGAAAAATATTATCTTAAGTAAGTAGGTTAGCATGGTTAAAATATTATGGAGGAAATTAGTGATATAAATGTTCATAGTTAGACAAATTTTAAAGCATAAATTTTAGTCTTCGAATCTTAAATGAAGGTTGATAGTTAATTGAGGATGAGCTACAACGAGATATGAGGATGGATTGAAATTTGTCAAATGGATTAATTAACTCAAGTGTACTTGAAACATAATTGGATAGAGTATTATCTTTAATATTATTTGAATTTAATTTAAATGCCCATTAATTACTTGAAAAATTACTTAAAAAATGATTTTAGAATTGTGATGTATTTGTCAAGAAATTAAGGGCATTATTAGAATAAAAGTAAAAAGCTAAGAGAAGAAAGCTTTAAAATTCTTGAAAAACTTTTAAGTGAGTGGGTAACGTTTTAAATAAATTTCTAATAATGTGTTTATAAAAATTTCTTTATTTAAATTTTAATATTATTTCCTTGTAATTTGTATTAATATCTTTTTCAATTCAATTTTTATGATAATTGTTATTTTAACGATCATGTTTTGATTTTATTAATAATTTATGTTATTGCAGCTTAATTATTTAATTACATGTTTAATTTGAAAAATGAATCTGAGTAGTGGAAATTAATAGTAAAATAGCATGGTTGAAGATGAAAACTTTAAAATTATTTTCTTACTCTATCCACACTTGATTTTTATTAAGGGGACTGAGTTCAAAATGCTAGTTGCTAATGACAGTTTAGTTAGCCCTTCGCGTGCCATAGTATATCTTACTAACAAGGTGCTTGTAGGAGATGCTAACCCCATGCACAGGTCAACACATGTGGAATGGAGGGATGAATATTCATGAGCATTATACTCACGCTTGTTTCGTATGCTTTATGCTTGCACATGTTTCGTGAATTTTAGTTACGTTTGATTATTTCGTAGCTTTAAACCATGCTTATTAGCTACTTATTCTCGTAGACTATGTGTCAACACTTAATTGGTTACTTACCATCACTATGCATCCACACTTGTTATTCATTCTAATAAAGCCTTTCTATATATAAATTAAATTTTATCATTTTTAAATTGGTTCTCCAAAAGTACTTTATCGAATTACACTATTATTGAAAATTTTTATATCTTATGAGCAGTACGAATTTTAATACATTAATGTGATTCTATTAGCATTATTAAATTTCATGGTTATGTTATTAAAAAAAATTATTTTTTATTATTAATTAAGTATATATTTAATTATTTCATTGAATTGCTTTCTAGTTAAGTTTATTAGTCACTATCTTCATAATTTTTTTATTTATAATTTTTGTTGGACGCTACTCACCAGAAATTCTTTAGTCTCAATATTATGGCTAATCCTTATACCTCTTATGAATCATTGAGGGGCCCTATTGTTTTTTAAAAGAGGAAGTACATTGTGAATATCTCTTTTTGGTGAAATTATGTACTGTGTTATATAATTATAAGTTAGTGCTCCATATATACCGTAATTAAATTCTAGTATTATTTGTTAGTATGAAATCTATTGATGTGGAGCTAATCTCCTTTATTGGACTGGCTAACAGGTTTATTATTGTAGAAATTTTGGGAACTCTAATTATAAGGGAGACTCTGCCAAAATTTCTTTAAAATATTTAAAACTTTATAAATTTTATTATTATATATAACTTCTATATCAATATTTTAACTTAATTTCTAGCTAATCAAATCTTATAAAATATGAGTTCACCTTATATTAATTATGAGACCTTTAGTTTTGGGGTGTGACAATAATGATAGCACAATGAATCCCTCTCATAAACAATTTTAGGTATATATATTGATAATCAAAGATAATGTCCTTGTCAATTATGTTATTTAATAAAAAATAATATGAATTATGCAGAGTCTTAAAGATATGAATAAATTACATGTCCAATTTGTTACATGTTAGATTATAAATAAGCTTGGCACATATAAATAAATCAACTGATTTACGAATTAAGATAATGGTGCAATAACTTTTGAGTTCCTAAATATTGGCTACTGTCACTGAAAAAAAAAAATCATCTCACTTGAATTTAAATTTCAATATCAATTTTGGTTGAAGTTGTATTATCTCTAAAATTCTTTCCTTCTCTTTCTTATTTTTTTTTTGGTTGTCGTTGGCAAAAAATCTCATTGTTAATCAATATTTATAGTTTTTATTAAATTATTCAAATGTAAGTGGACTTAAAATAATGTGAAAAGTTTCATATCAGATAAAATTAACTTTAATTATAACCAATATAAAATAAAGAAAAAGGGTCTATATAAACTTTTTTGCTGGTTTTTGCCCTTTGTTCTCTCTCACATTTTCAAGTGATCACTCTGATCTCTACTCTAAACAAGTGATATCAAAGTTAAGTTTTGTTGGAATCTATTGTGGTCACTACTCTTGCCCATTTGTTATTTCTCTCATTTTTTAAATGATTGCTCTTTATTCTTAGCAAGTGGTATTAAAGTGAACTTGTATGTGTCATATCATTTAAAGTTCGAAAAAAACCAGATCAACCCTCATTTCAAGAACAAGAGTTTTGTGTTTGTGACATATTTGATATGGGAAACCGTTTGTCCCTGCCTCCCATTTACGATCGTTATTCTTAGCACTTTTTTAATGAATTAACAATGGTATAAATTTGAGTACTATATCAATGACAATTTGCAAGATCAAGTCTAATGGAAGTTTATCTTTTAAATTTCATACATTTTTTTCTTAATTTTTTTATTCATTGTCATCACAAAAATAGCACATCCTTTGTTAATGTTCAAAGTTTTTCTGTTATATTTGACAAAAAAAAAGTTTTTCATTATTTGTTAACATTGTAAACTTAATTATCATATGTACGCTAATTTAGAGTCGAATCAAAATTCTAATTTTAAAATTTTATATTTCTCTTTCTTAAGATGTAAACTTATTTATCATATGAAGATTAAGCTCTAGTTGAATTAAACTTTTAATTTAAGAATTTTACATTTATATGTTAAATAGTTATGTGTTTGTGATAAACATGCATCATTTCTCTACGAAATTTGTCATTTTAACTCTTTGTAATCAAAAAATATTATTAGATCAATTTAAGCTCATAACAAGAAATGTAAATGTATTTGTTATAGTTTACTTTATTCCAAGAGTTAAAGATTTTTAAAATCTTTTCCATTTTCTTGCATGCATACACATAGACATTGTTTGGATTGGACTCAATGCTCTGTGTAAGGTTTCCCTT